TATATATTTTAATATTCTTTAATTTTTATTAAAAAAAAAAAAAAAATTTCTTTAATAACAAAATTAAAAAAAAAAAAAAAAAAAAAAAAAAAAGATAAATGAAGAATATAAAATAAAATATGGAAATTTTTGAATTATATATATACGTATGTTTTTTTTTTATTTATACATTTGTATTATATTTATATAATAATTATTATAGATGTATTATATTCATATATTAGTGCCTTTATATTTATAAGAAGTTAATAAGTATATTTTAATTAAAATAAAACATTATAGTTAACTTATATATGTATTTTTTTTTTTTTTTCATTTTTAGAAATTATTAGCACCAAAGAATGACATAAGATCTCTAAAAGTTCAAGTTGTTGCCTCTTTTTGTAATTTAAAATTAAATATACCTCAGTTTACTTTAGGAAAAGATGATAAAAGTGAGGAATTTTTAAGATATTCTCCATTAGGAAGATTGCCAGTTTTGTTAACTTCTAATGGATCCTTATTTGAAAGTAATGCTATTTGTAAATATTTATGCAATTTAAGAAGAGAACATAACTTATTAGGACAGGGAGTTTTTGAAGAAGCACAAGTAAATATGTGGATTGATTTTAATACATACGAATTGGAAATACCAATATGTTGCTATGTAACTAATAAATCTTGTGAAAAATCATTAAATCATATAAAAGATTCTTTTAATTGCTTAAATAATCATTTATTATTAAATCAATTTATGGTTGGTAATTATATTACTCTTGCTGACTTATTCATATGCGTTATCATAATGTTTGCTTTGAAATCAGAAAAATTAGATGTTAGTTTTCTTAAAAAGTATAAAAATTTAAATAGGCTATTTGAAACCGTATCTAATCAAAAACAATTTAAATATGTGTTTTCAGATTCTACTGTTAAAAAGCCTCAAGAAAAAAATAAAAAAGTTGAAACAAAACCTATTGATAAAAAGAAAAAAAATAGTGATGATGAAGATCAATTATTGGATGATGAGCTTACTGAAAAAAAACCAAAAAAAGTTAATCCATTAGATTTATTACCACCATCTACATTTTCTTTGGATGATTGGAAATATAAATTTAGTAATGAAAAAGATTTACTTAATAATGCTATGCCACATTTCTGGAAAACTTTTGATAATAATGGTTGGTCATTATATTATATGAAATATGATAAATTAGAAGATGAATGTCAAATTTCTTTTGTAGCTTGTAATATGGCTGGTGGATTTTTACAAAGGTTAGAAAATAATTTTTCGAAATACTCATTTGCTGTTGTAACTGTTTTAGGTGAAAATAAATCTTATGATATTGAAGGAGTTTGGTTATTTAGAGGCGTAGATATTCCATTTGAAATGAAAGATCATCCATCTTTTGAGTATCATATATTCACTAAATTAAATATAAACAATAATGATGATAGAAAATTAGTAGAAGATTACTGGTGTTCTAAAGAAACAATAAACAATAGACCAGTGGTAGACAGAAAAGTATGGAAATAATTATAAGGAAAATAAATATAAATAGAAAAATTAATACTAGAAATGAACATTCTTCTACAATAAAAAAAAAATTCTCTTTTTATAGAATAGTTTTAGAAAATTAATACATAATATTTTTGTTATAATATGTATAATGATAATATATATAATTATAAATTATATTTATATAAAATATAAATTTTTTTCTAATATATATATATATATCATTTAATACCTTACATATATTTTTTTGAAATAAATACTTATAAATTAAAAAATGAAGTGTTGATATAAGTTTTCTTATTTTAATATAATTTTTTTTTATTATTTGCTACAATTTTGTAATCATAACTTTTTTTTTTTTTTAATTGAAATGAATTTAAGTACTAATCTGATTATTATTGAGAAAAAAAAAAAAATTTTTAAATGTAAAAAAAAATATTAGAAAAATACTATAAAGAAATAAATTAAAAATCTCCTTTCATCCAACACATACTTTTTTTATATAATGTACTTAAATTAATAATAAAAATTGATACTTTATTTTTTTTTTTTTTTTCATTTGTTAGAATTATTTGAAGATATAATAAAATTTAAAATGTATATATATAAAAAAAAAAAAGGAGATTTCATATTTTAATATTTTTAATAAGTGAAATAAACTTAATAATATTATATAATAAAAAAAAATAAAATAAAATAAAATGAAATAATAGATTCAATAAATACTAAACAGAAAAAAAATAATTCTATAAAAATACAATTATATTCATTAACTAAATATAGTATTTTATTTAATTATCTGAATCTATTTCAAAATATTTTTGACTTTTAAATGCTTTATGATAATCAACTGTAATATCAGGAAATGATAATATTTTCTCTTTATTATCACTAAATAAATTTTTAATCAAATCAATTATATCAATTTCTTCATTAGGTTTCTTTTCTTTAAGATCATCTGGAGAATCTAAAATAATAATTTCATCATTTATCATATCTTCTTCCATGTTATCGTCTCTTTTTTCAAATTCAACTTTTATTTTTAAATTACAAAAAAGAAAAAAAAAAAAGAAAGAAAGAAAAGAAAAGAAAAGAATATTAAATATAACAATAGGAAAATGGAAAAAATATATAATACTACCATTATCTTTTTTGTTATTCGTTTTCTTATCTAATATATTTTCTAATCGAATCTTGAAATCCCCTTTTTTATTCATATCTCCTGATTTTTCATTCGTAGTTGATTTCTTTTCATTTATTTTAACAAAATGTCCACCACAATATAAAGAGTGCCTCCTCCCTTAATGTATGTTAAGAAAAATATATATTTTTATTTTTAGCTTTGTGTTTTCACATAATATATTTTGACGTTTTAATTAAATTACATATGTTTTTTAAAAAAAAAAAAAAAAAATTTTCTCTTACACCATTTTTCTTTAGAACTAGGTGGTCTATTCATAGATCTCCTAACGTAACCAAAATGAGGAGGATAAGTTCTACAAACTCCCTTTTTTTTAATTGAAAAAAAAAAAAATAATAATAATAAAATAAATAGAAAATAAAGTTATACAATACACAATTTGTTCATAAAATTATTTATTTTATCTTTTATATTTGTATTAATTTCATTTTTAACAGTGCATCTCCATATGTGATTTCTATAAAAATTAACTTCATCATGAAAACTGTGATATATAGTAATGGATAATCCAGTTGCTTTATTTATTCTATACATATGTTTTTTAAATTCCTTTTTAAGTAAAACAAATTATATTTATTATATTTTTAATATTTAAAAAAAAAAAAAAAAAAAAAAAAAAAAAATATATATATATATATATATATATATATATATATATATAATGAGAATAATCTACAATACAGGTCCATGTCCATCATGTATAGAATTCTTTCTAGTTAAAAATAAGAAAGCATGAATCATTTCATGAAGTAATGTCTCCTATAAAAATAGATATATATATATATATAATTATATAAAAATATTATTTAATGAAATAAAAAATAAAAGAAAAAAGAAAGATAATTACTCTATATTCCTTTATTTTTCTTAGTTTTAGAAGAGGAAGAGATAAACGAATGCAACAATAACCTGATTTCTTTAAATATTAATAATAAAAAATTAAAAAAAAAATTATATATATGAATATCACTTATATTTTAAAATATCAAATAATAGATGAATTATTTTTAAATATTTACAACTATGAAAGATATTAAACCTTAAATATACATATGCCGGCACATAATTTCATTTTATTACTCCATTTTACTTCTACTGTTTCTAACTTATTAAAGAAATATTTTACATTATACTCAGAAAACAATTCTTTTAAATCTGGAAAAATAGTATCCTCTTTTTAAAAAAAAAAATAAAACAAAATAATATAAAAAAAAAAAAAAAAAAAAAAATGTTCCATTTACTATATTAGAGTATAGAAGAAGGAAAATATTATTTTCCTTTTTTACTTACATTACATTGCTTTATTTCATTTTATCTTTATTTATTTTAATATATATTTATTACATATATTATTTACTACTGTTAAAATAAAAAGCTACTATTCTTATTTTTTTTTCTGTATTTTTTTAAAAGTAAACTTATTCTATGTTAAAATCATTTATATTATTTTCTTTAAATAAGAATATAAAATATGACTATTGAGATAATATCAAGCTTGTATTTTAATAACTTAAAAAAAAAAAGTTTACTTGATTCATCATATATTACAGCATCTTCAACGCATTCTATTTCTGATATATCAAAAATAAGAGAACTTCTTTTATTTTTGTTATTTTTATTTTTTTTGATTTTTATATTCTTATTTTCTTTTTTGTTATAAGCTTTTTTTTCCTTATCATTGTCATTGTCAGATTCAATATGAATTGAACTGAGTTGTCGTATAACTTCTAATGTATCATAGTCATCTTCCGATTCTTCTTCATTTATTTTTATAGAACTTTTTATTTCTTCATATTCATTATTATCATTATTATTGCTTTTTTCACTACTTATCTGTTTGATATCCTTAATTTGATATGAATGATTTATTTCATTTTCATTTTTTATTTGGTATTTATTATCTATTTTATCCATAATATTTGTGATATTTTTAACTTCTTTATTTGTATCATTATTAAATTCTATTTCATCTATTATTGTCTTTTGTCTTCTTTTCTTTCCACATTTTTCTAAATATTCATTCTCAACAGAAGTTAGTTTTTTTACGTCAGCATTCATTGTATAATTTTTTTTTTTTTTTTTTTTTATTTTAGTAATCTTCACAATTAAATCACATTTTTCTTTTTGTTTGATGCTTATAAAAATAAATAGAAAAACTACTCGATTTTTTTAGAAAAGCTTTTTTAACCTTTTAATTTTTCTTTTAGTAAAGTTTTATTTGTTTTATAGATTATTATATTGAAAAAAAAAAGTTATAAATTTTAAAATGATAACTTAATATTACTATGAAATAAAAGAAAATAAAATAAAAAAAAAAAAAAAAAAAACCTTAAGATAGTATATACTTAAAACTTTAATATCATCTGTTTATTTTTTTTAGAAAAAAGGAAATTAATCATAAAATTAATTTACAAATCATTTTGTTTGAATTCTACTAATATATGAATCAGAATAATAAATAAAAAAAAAAAAAAAAGAAAAAAGACGATGGTTTTTTTTTTTTTTTTTATTTTTTATAAATAATAGAATATATATTAAATATTATTATTATATCGTCGTGAATATAAAATTTAAAATAGTTAATTTTTATTGATTAGAATTATTATTTTATATATTTATTGTCTCTATTTTGTTATATATATTAAAGTGGAAAATCATTTAATATATAAAGGTATAAATCATATGATTAGGCATATAAATGTATTTATGAATATCTATATATATATTTTACTATATTTTCTTTTTTTTAGATATATAACAAATTTAATTTGTATATTTTGAAAAGATTTAACAAAAAGTTTTACTTAATATATGCGACTTAAATTGATTTAATAGATGAAATTAAAAAGAATTTAAATAATATGACCTTTGTTAAAATAAAAATTTTTTAAAGAAAAAAAACAAAAATAAAAGGAGCATTATGAAGGTAATAAATTTACATTAAATTCAAATATTTTTGCGTAGATTTTTTTTTTTTTTTTTTTTTTAGAATATTGTTATGAAATTTTTTTAATATATTTAGCATAAAGCATTTTAATATAATTTTAAAAAATAATATTATGTTGTTATTTCTTACTTAAAAAACATTTTATTATTAATATATATTAATTTGTATATATAATAAATTTTTATTCTTATAATTATCTAATATCTTTATTAATGTTAACATTATGATGTTGATAAAAAAGCCATTTTTAAAGTGGAATAATATTTTCTCCATATTATATATTTCAAAGAAAAATTATTATAATATAAAAACTATTTCAGGTAATTTTTATAGGTTTAATAAAAGATATATTCTTACATCTAGAGAAGAGAGCCATTTAAAAGAATGTAACAAAAACTTATATGAAGAAGAATTAAATAGCGTATTTAAGCAATATCCTGTTTACAAAAAAAAAAATGAAAAAAACGAAGAAATATTAATAACAAATGAAAATAATAAAGATAAAAAGATTGGAGATATTATTAAATTAGATAATTATATATATGGAGTAGTATTACAAATTAATAAAAACAATATTGTTATTGGAAAAATAAATGAACAAGAAGAAAAAAATACAAATAAGAAGCTTACGGATGTAAATAAAAAAAACATATATACTCCTTTTGAATATGTAGATTACTTATTTCAAAAAAATAGTAAGTTAAATATATTTAATTCCAATAGGAAAGAAATATACAAAAAAGTTATAAAAAAGCAATTATATAGTGATATATTATTAATTGATTTTTTTAATAAAATAAATTATGGTCAAAAAGTTTGTGTTATAGGGGAGAAAGAGTTAGGGAAAAAAAAAATATTAATCTCAATTATGTATGAAAATTTACTCGTTAATTCAATTAAAAAAAATGAAAATTTTTTTATAATTTGTTCAAATAGTTATAAGTGTGAAGTTATTAATATTTTTTCTCATTTAAATGAATTATTTAGAAACACTTATAAGAATATAGGGGAGAATAATAATGATACAGAAAATCAAATAGAAAACATTTATTCAAAAAATTATATTTATGAAAATATAAAAATACCTGATGACGTATTATTAATAAATTCAACACCAAATAATGACTCCAAAATATCAAGTTATATCTTGCCATTATTATCATTATATAATTTGAATGAATATGAGAAAAAGTATAAAAATGTAATATTAATTTTTTACGATATAAATAATTATAATAATATATATTTAGAACTACAAAATCAAATGAATACATTCATGAAAAATTATTATCATAAAAATGAAGAAATAAATAAGTCAAAATCTTTATATATAGCTTCATTACCTTTCTCAATTCAAACAATTTTATCTAAGTATTTTTCATCATCTGTATATCCATATTATAAACAAAAAGATAACAATTCACAAAAACAAGATAATAGTAACAATATTAAATTCTCATTAGAGAATTTTAAATTCTCAGATTTGTTAAATATTAATGAAGATAAAAATTATAATATATCAAATAGTGTAACTACATTTTGTTTTTTTGATGATGATGAAAAAATAAATCAAATAAAAAATTACGCATTATCACTTAGTGAAAACAATATTTATTTAAAAAAAAATAATTTAAATATTTATCCAGAAATTAATGTAAATTATTTTATAAAAAATGACATTGTTGAAAATAATAAAATATGGAGAATAATTAAAAACGAAATAAGAAATATATTTGATAAAAGAAACGAACTATTTGAATTAATAGAAAATAAAAAAATGATGAAGATATATATAGATCATTGGGAGTATGAAGATTTTATTCATTATAATAATATTTATTATATCTTAATATATAAAAATTTTAAAATATTTAATTTAAATTCATTTGAAAATCTTGTGTTTTTGCGAAATCTCTTAACATATAACTTTACGAACGAAATTATATCACAAAAAAGTATTGAATTATTTTATGACCAATTTTTTAACTATTATTTTAAAAATTTAAAATATTTCTCGTTTCTGTATACTGAATATTATAAAAACATTAAATCATTTTACCAAATAAAAAATGCAGTTATATTTCTTAATAAAATTGACGAAGTAATAAAAAATATTAAGCCACCTTTCAATTATATTTTATAATTACTCATTCAAAAAAAAAAAAAAAAAGAAAAAAAAATGTCCATTATAAGGAATATTTATAAAACATTTTTACGTAAATTATTTTAATTCATATATTTTGTTCTACTTTTTGTTAATTTTTCTATTATCATTTTGTTTTCTAGATTTATATTTTAATAAATTTTTTTTATTTTATTCTATATTTTTTAATACTTCAATTTATTAATTTGTTTCTTATCATTTCAACTCTTACAAAGTGAATAAGATTTTTAATGCATATATTTTTATATTTATGTATTGTTAAAATTTTTTAATTAAATTTATCATATCTCTTCTTCTTTAAGATTATGTCTTTATTTTTTTTTTTTTTTTATTGTTAATTTTTTTAATTCTTTAAAAATCTAATAAAAAATAAAATTTACATACATTTTTTTGCTTCTTTATATAAATATTAAAATTTAGTTAGTATTAAATGTTAGATATATATATATATTATTATTAAGTTGGCATCAAGCAAAATAATGTATATACATATATATAATTAATAGAAACCTAAATCATTCTGGAATTTATTTTTATTTTTTTTTTTTTTTAAGCCAAAATATTTTTTATATAAAAATAGACAATTTGAAAAGTACAATACAAAAATACTTTTTATATCCATAAAAGAAAAAATAAACAATTGATTAAATATATGATGAATGAAGCTCTTACATGGAAAAAAGTTAAAAATATATAGTAATTTTTTTCTATTTTCTTTTTTTTTTTACACATTTTTTAATTGAAAATATATTTATTCATCTGGCATATAATCATCAAATTCGTTATCGTATGCATCTATTTCATCATCATTATCATCATCATCTGCTTCTTCATCATCAATAAATGAATTTACTAAGTCATTATTATCATCATCTATATTATTAATATTTTTAATTTCATTATCATTTATATCTTTCAACGATTTATTTATATTCTTTAATTTATTTATTTCGTTAAATTCTAAATCTTCTATTTCTTTATTATCTTCTTTAATGAATTCACTATCTTTATTTTCTTCATCTATTTCTCTTAACTCTTTTTTTATATTCATATCTACATTATCATCCTTATCTTTTTCATTTCCTACTTTCTCCTTTGTATTTATTCCAGCTCTTAACATGAAATTTTCACCTATATTATCCTTTGTATCTTTTAGAATAATTTTATCAATATCATTTATTATAAAATTTTCTATTTGTTCATCATATCTATTAATGATTAGATGAAAAGCACTAGGAGATCCTAATAAAATTCCATCAACTGGTTGAAAAATATTGTCTTTAAAAAAAACAGTAACATCTTTTCCTATATTATTATTCCAATCTCTTCTACATACTAATATATTTTTGCTTGGGAGTGATGAAACAACTAATTCAAAAAATGGCAAAATAAAAATTTCTTCGTCAATCTCTAATTCTTTTAATCTTTCAGCAATTTTTTTAACTAATTGTTTTAAATCAAATAAGGAAATTTTATAATTTTTTTCTTCTTCTGTAGTAACAAAGATGTCTAGTTTTCCAGCATACCAAGTAACATCATATAAATCTAAATTTGATGGTCTTCGTAATTCTTTAAATGGATAATCATACATAATTACATCTCTTATTACTTCTTCAGCTCTTTTTCTCCATTTACAATTAAGAGGATCATCCCATTCATATAAGATATTTTCAATGGGTGATTTTACTTTACTATATAAAACATTATTTTCTAATAATCTAAAATTTTGAAGTTTAATTTCTGAATCATTTTCAAAATTTGTTTCTATGTCACTTTCTTCTTTTGTGTTATTTTTTTCAATATCTATTTTTTCATTATTATCATTTTCTGAATGATGTAATTCACTTAAATCAAGTAAAACTTGTTCCCCTACTGAATTTTCATGCCATTTTCTCCATAAATCTTTTTTTTGTTTTTCATATTCTTTATGTTTTTCAAAATATAATTCCTTATAATGTTTTGGTAACAGGTTTATTTCTTCATTTGTTAAATTCCATTTCTTCCTAGAATGTTTTTTTCTTTCATCCCATTTTATTATTTCTTCTTTTGCCTCTTTAATTGTTTTTACTTCTTTTTTATAATATAATTTTCTTATCTCAGATATGCTTGATTTATTTGGAATACTTTTACTTACATTTTTATTCTGATCTGTTAAATTTTCTTTTATATTGTCTGATAAATCATGTTCACTATCTTCTATATCATCAATAAATTCTCCTTCAGAATTAATACTATTATCATTTTCCACATTATCTAAATATGTATTGTCTTTATTTAAACTTTCTTTTTCTATATTACTAATTTTTTTATTAATATTTTTTTCTTTATATTCACGATAATTTGATTTACAATAAGTTATATTATATTCCATTTCTAAATCAGTTTTATCAAATTCAAAAATATCGTCATGTTTTTTTAATTCGTCTGTTGATGGCCACGGTCCAATACCTTTAAAAGCACAATCATATTCAGTTAAATCATTATCAAGATCATTTTCATTAAAACAATTTAATGTAGCCTTTTGATTAGTTTTATTAATTTTTTTATCTAAAGAATAAAGCATATATCTTTGATTTTTTTTATCAACATATTTAATTAGAGATGGATGGATATATTTTTCATATTTTATATCCTCTATAAAATCAACAATTGTCGGATCTGGTAATTGTTTTACTTTTTTTATTTCATTATCATTCCACTTCTTGAATTCCTCAAAGGTCATTTTTCTTAAGTCAGGATATTTTTCTTCATCTTTTTTATCTTTATTTTTCTCTTTTGTATATAAGTTATCAGGTACGGTAATATACGGGTATCTTAATAATAAAAAAAAAAAAAAAAAATTGAAAATATGTTTATTAATTTATTTATCATTTTAGTATGAAAAAAAAAAAAAAAAAAATTAAAATATTTTTTTAGCTTATATATTCGTACATTGGTTCAGGAGGTATATTATTCTTAATATATTCTTCAGGAATATTGTTATCATGAAGATTGGTTATGTTTGTAGTAAACAGTCTTTTTTTTTTTTCTTTTATATTTATCAACTTTGATTTAAACTTTTTTTTGTTTACTAATTCATTTGAATTACTTTTAATAAAATAAAAAAAATTTTTTTGTTTTGAATTAATACTAAAAGGTATTAACCTAATTAAAAATAAAAATTTAAGAAATTACGTTTTTAATGTGTTATTTTGTTCTATTTCTCTTTATCTTTATATATATATATATATGTATATATATATTTATATTTAACCCTTTGTTATTTTAAATTACTATTTTAATACTTCTTTCTTTTTATACCTATAGTTCCAATTAGATATTTCTTTTCCACAATAGTACGACTCATAAAAAAGTATGTATAAAAAAATAATCAAGACATTTTTATAAATTATTTTAGTGTAATTAAATAGCATCATAAATTTTTATAACTAAAAAAACAATATATTCAATAATTTCTTTAAATTATTTTCTGAAATTATATCCATAACATATTCTTTTTAACCTTACTTTATCTTGAAATGTTTTTTTGTATTAACATATATTTATATATATATATATATTTAACAAAAAACATTTTTTTTTTTTTCTTATTTATAAACATTTATCTTGTGTAAAGTCATTCAAATGTGAAATACATTTTCAAACAAAAAGTAAAAATAATTATTTCATATTTTAATAAAGTTTATAATACATAAACATAATGAAAAAAAAATTGTTCCTTTTTACTTAAAAACATATGAAGTTGTCAGATAAAAAAAAAAAAAAAAAAAAAAAAAAAAATAACACATAAGATATATATAATAAATTAGATCATCTTAAAAGTTATTTAATCCTTAAAAACATATCCCTTAAGAAAAATACACAGGAAAAATTATTTGTTAAAAAATAAAATTATATAAAGATATAAATTTTATATATCTTTAAATATATGTTCATAATATTTATGACAAAAAATAAAAATTAAAAATATGTACATGTAATAACGTTATTATATATTAACCATGGTAATATTTTTGTTATATAAGTAAATAACATTTCTTAAAAAATTATAAATATATATTAAGAATAATTATTTTATATTATTTAATAAAAATATATAATTATTTCATATTATGTTTATTTATATAAAAATGTATTTTAATTCTATTTTCTTTTCTTAACATTGTCAAATAGTTGAATATACATTTATTTAATTTTACATTAGTAGATGACACACATAACACATAAATTTTCAGAGTTATTATGAATAATCATTGAATCTTTTTTAAATATTTCATCGTCTTTTTTTTTTTTTTATACTTTATGAAAAAGTATTATTATGGGTTATCATATTCATTAAATTTAAATGAGATAGAAACCTTAACAGGAAATATTATTTTGCTATAGGGAGATAATATTACTATTCCGATGCATTATAAATTTATAAGGTTTATAGTTTTATTATTTTTATTTATTTTTTTATGTATATATATATATATATATTTATTTATTTTTATATAAGTTGTTATTACAAAAAAAAAGAAAAAATGTTAAAAATATTTTTTTAAATTTTATTCAAAATATAATACTAAAGATACAAAAAATATTTATATATATATAAAATATATTATACATATAGAAATGTATATATATAATTCTTTAAAAAAATAATATCATAATTTAAAAAAAAAAAAAAAAAAAAAAAAGTCTATAATAAATAAGACTATTTTTATAATTTAAATTACCTAAAATTTTTTTGTGCATAAAAATTCGTAATTAAAATAAGTTATTTATTAAATCGATGTTTTATTACCTAAATATATATTTGAATTATGATTTTGCTAACAATTTTGTTCAGAAATAATACTTTCTTAGTTAATCTTTGTAAACAAATTCTTTTAATAATATCTATATTGAAGCATTTCATTTAAAAAATGCTTGTGTTTGTAAATTTGTTGAGAACACAACTATTTTTACTGTAAATAGTGTTATATAAATATTAGAGACAATTTTTGTCTAATTTTACTAAATATTCAATATCATCTGGTAAGTTGCTAACCCATTTTTTTGGCTCGCGTGTAGGCAAAAACCAATCAACTTCATCTATATTTTTAGTAAATGACGATTTTAAAATTAATTTTAAAAATTCTTGTCTTAATTCCTCAAAATTTTGATATATTTCATTTCTTTTTTCTATCATGTAACCACAAGCTTTATTATAATTTATAATTTTAAATAGTCTTAAATATTTTGCTGAACTATTATATTTGAAAGTAGCAGTATAAATAACTTTAAATATGGTTAAAATGTGATCTCTAAATTTAGAAGAGTTGTTTGGTTCAATAAAAATTATATATGAATTATTTTTACTATTTTTGCAATTGTGTAAAGAGTCTGATAGACTATTAAACATTTCAACTACGCTTGGTGAAATTTGAAGATCTTCTTCCCAATTGCAACTATTACCAATATTATCCATTCTACATGTGATATAATCTAGTGTACTTTTAGCAAAAATATATTTAAAAGTGTATAATTTAATAAAATTTGTTTGTGTATTTGCTGGAGATATGTTAGATTCAATAACAATACCATTTAAAAAATCTTCCTTATAATAATTCATGCTTAACACTTTTATAAATTCTACTTTTCTTTTTAATAATAAATTTTTCAATTTTTTGCATTTCAAAGCTTCTCTACTTGCTTCACCGCTAAATTCTACACCAATGTATCTTCCAACTGTCCCCCACTTTTCAAACATTTGAACTGCTAAAGGATGATTTCCATGGCCAATCTCCATTATTGTATCATTTTCACTTATTGGAGAAAGAAACTCTTTATTGTCAATTTTAATTTTTTTAATTTTTGATTTTAATAATTCTGTTATTACACTAACAGCCAATTCAGTAGTTATTCCAGTAAATGGCTTTATTTTGTCTACACTTTGTGTGTAAAATTCATCCCAACATTTTTCTTCTTCTTCAGGTTTAAAATCACAGTGAATTTCATTTATATCACAATTATTTTTATCTGTAATATTATTATTACTTACATCATTATTATTTTCAAGTTTTTCTTGTTTTAAAATTTCTACATTTTCATTAAGCATTTTGTTTATTTTTGTCTTTATTAATCTTTCACTTCTTTTTAACGGACTACATAAATAAGATACATACTCATTTTTTATATTTTCCGGTAAATCATGCATATTTGATTCATTCATTATCCACTTTTCTCCAATATTTTTATTAATTTTTTCAAAATTATATTTATTTTTTTCTCTTAAAGGAGTATGCAGATATTCCAATTCCTCATATAAAGATTTTTTTTTTTTGTTTTTTGAAGTCAAAATAATATCATCCTTTTTTTCATTAACCCGTTTTTTATACCTCTTTGGGGTACTATAAACTGATATATTTTTTGCATTTTCTTCATAATGTATAATATTTGTTTTTTCAAAATTACATGGAGTGCGAATTCTTTTTTTACAGCTAAAATTTTTTATACAATTTAAATTTTCTACGAAGCCACTTTCTTTTTTGTGAGGAGTCTTGAATAAGTCATTATGGTCAGAAATTTCATTATGATAAATATTATTTTTTATTTTTTTTAATTCGCATGATTGTTCGCAAATAAGTGGTATCATATTTAATATTTCCTTTTTTTCTTTTTTTATCAATATATCTTTATTAAATTTCTCAATTCCTTTTTTAAAGGTTGTAATTAAATTACTATATTCCTTTTTTTTAATAAAATTAATACTTTCAATTTGTTTATTAGGAGTACAGATATATTCCTTTTTCCCAAATTTATCCATTATAATTATTTATTTATTTATTTATTTTATTTATTTTTTTTTTTTTTTTTTTGTTATAACATAGCATTACTCCCTTTCTATGTATATACATTTGCTTTAATGTAAGTTTGTATGTAATTTTTTTTTTTTCATTTTATAATAATGTCATCTTAATCATTTTTCGTTTCACATATATATATATATATATATGTATATATAAATTGTATATATATATTAACTTATAAAAATGTAAATTAACAAATATATTTATATATATGTGTGTTTTTATTTTTATTTTACGTTTAACTTGATAAATGTTTTCATATAAATATTTATTTTATTTTATTTTTAAATAAAAATATTCATAAAATTTATCAAAAATAAAATATTAATGTTTATACATTTTATCTAAAATGGATATTCTTCATTAAAATAAAAAAAAAAATTAATCATACATTAAAAATAATCAAAGAATACATTTAAAAAAATACAAGAAGTAGTTAGCACAAATGACTTTATTGTATTTACATAACAAAAAAAAAAAAAAATATTAAAAATTACTACATTTTTTTTTTTCATATTTTACAAAAAAAAAAAATATAAAAATATTACAATATTTTTAAATATATCCTTTTAAGAAATATAAAAGTAAAAAATTGACTATTAAAAAAAATATACATACTTAAAATGTTATTTTTTTTATGTATTTCTTAAAATTTAGAAATTAATTTTCATGTTTTATAATTTTTTGTTCTCAAAGTATATACGTATATTATACAAAACCAAATATATAATTAAAAAGATAATATAAAATTCTAAATTTATATATGAATGGTATTGGGAAATTTTTCTATATATATATAGGAATCTAGTTAAAATTAATTTTAATAATTATTTTAAATATTTCTTCAAATTTATTTTCATGTTTTTAGTGATATATTAACAACTTTATTTTTTTTTATATAATATTAGTTCTTTGTAAAGTTTTACATATTACTTCTTATCATAAATTGAAATATTATAATTTATTTTTTTTTTTTTAAATATATGTAATGCCCATTGAGATTAAAAATAATTTTATTATATAACCAAAAAATAATTTCAGTTGTTTCATAATATATTAATCTATATTTTATTCATTTAACGAAATAGTATCAACTTATCTAAGTTATTAAATTAATTACTATTTTTTACTTTTGTAATTAAAAGGAAAAAGTTAAATTTTTAAAATATTAATTTTAATATTCTTCGTTTGGAAATATTTTAGGACAAAAAAAAAAAAAAAAATTATGTTTTGTCAACATATATTAAAATTTTAATTTTCTTAAATTTATAACGAGAAAGAGTAAAATAAAATGATTGTCTATTATAGTATGTTTTATATTCTTACTCTATTTCATTTTATTTTTAAAAAAATTTGCTTTTTTATTATTTAATATAATTTAAAAAAAAAAAAAAATTTCTCTTTAATTAATTTCTTATATATTTAAGTTTTTCTAAAAAATATGTGAATATAAACATTTTTTAAATAATTGATCCTGTTTCTGGATCAACCGACCCTATGAAATAAAGAAAAATATATATATAAATGTATATATGTAATTTAAGATATATTAAAAAAAGTAAATATGTAAATATGTAAATAATTTTTTTATATTATACCACTAATACGTTCTCTAGAGTTTCTAATAGAATAATTTATACTTAGTTTTGTATAAATCTGTTAAGATTTTATATATTACAGAAAAGAAAAAAAAAAAAAAGAGAATAATTTGAATAATAGAATAAACAATTTTAATAACTAAAATATACATTTATATATAATAAAATTCCTACCAAAGAATTTTGAATTTCTCCTTCACAAGGCCAATCAATATTACAAGATTTTAAATAATAATTTTTATAATTATCAGACAAATTTTTAAATTTTGAATAATTTTTGCATAATTTACTTTTATAGTTTATTGGTGCTTTGCAAAATCCATTTTTATTAGTAAGAACCCATCCCAATGGGCATTCAAATGAGTAGTCGCGTTTACATTCATCTCTATCTATATATATATATATATACGTAAAAATAAAAATATAATATTTTTTTTATTAAAAATTATCAAGAATAAAAAAAAATATGATGACATTATTAAGATTATATTTTGTGTTAATTACCCTTAAAAGGAAAATCGACATTACAAGCAGTAGAATAAGATTCTTTTTCTTGTGAATTCATATCAGAAAATGAAACTTCATCATTGCATTTTGAATTTTTTTGATAATTTTCTGGTGCATGGCACCATCCATTATTCATTAATGACCATCCACTAAAAAAAAAAAAAATAAAATAATTTTTTAGTTATAATTATTTTTTTTTTTTTTTAATATTTCTTTAGAGATATCTATTTTAAATTTTCTTTATATATGTATTTTACATTGGACAATGTGCATCATAATTTCTATGATACTCATTAACTTTAATAGAATATGGCCAATTAACTAAACATGTATTTTCAATTTTTTTTTTTAATTCTTCAGTATTATATTTTTTTAAATTAGAAATTTTAGGACATGGCCCATTATAATTATCTGGTGCTTTGCATTTATATTCATCAATATTTATCCAATTTAATGGACAAATAGGATCAAAATTAGTAATATAAGTAACTGATTTGCATTTCCATCTTATACCACATTCCTTTTCTAATTTTTTTTTTTCTTTAATAGTTACTTTAGAAAAATTTATATCATTTGGACATTTTTCATTCTTATATATACTTCTACAAATACCCTTTCCAACATCTTCCCATTGAACTGGGCAAACTGAATTATAATTAATACCATAAGGACATTTTAGTGGCATACATGGCCAGCTAGCTTCACATATATCACCCCAACTCTCTTTTTGATTATCATATAAATACATTAATTTATCTTGTATCTAATTTTTTTTTTATTGTTATTTTCATTATTTTTACATATATTTATTTTTCATTTTTTTTTTTTTTTTTTTTTTTTTTTTTTTTTGATTATAAATATTTATGTAAAAATAAGAATTTATAAAGTTGTATAATAGAATATTTTTAACTTATTTTAAATATATACATATATATATTTGTATCAATTACCTTATTACAAGGACCTTCATAAGAATTTAGTGGAACACAACCTGAACTAGTACGAAAGAAATTTAAAGGACATGGTAGAGAATAATCTGGATCACACATCTATTATTTAATTAAAAAAAAAAAAAGATAAAAAAATATATATTAAAAAGAATAAAAAAAACTTTTTTTTATTTATCTTATGTAACATATAATATTTACATCATCTAAATCATCTATTGTCTAAAAAAAAAAAAAAAAAAAAAAAAAAAAAAAACATATCAATTATTTATTATTTATTTTTTTTAATCAAATATCTTACTAAAAAAAAAAAATTAAATTTTTCTATTTTACATGTTCTAATTTTTCTAATTCATCTGTATCTAATTTTTTGTAAAGATCTGGTTGATTCATTGAATTAATAACTTCTGCTTGGTACTTTTTTATATTTTTTAACTCATTTTCTTTTTCGACACTATTTTTATTCTAAAAAAAAAAAAAATTATAATAAAATAATAATTATACTTAAAAATAAAATAATCAAAAAAATCTTAATAAAAAAAAGGATAATTTATTTAGTTTAGATTTTTTTTTACTTGATCGGAAGATGCAAAATTTTCAGCAGCCTCTTCTAAATCGTCAGATAAAAATTCACTGTCTTCTTTTGCTTCTTCTTCTTCTTCCTAAATATTTTTTATAATTTTAATGTTTATAATTTTTAAAAAATAAAAAAATTTTTTTAGTTTTATTAATAATTACTTCACTAAGACCCGATGATGGCAATTCATTTACATTATTTTTTTTTTTAATTTTGTTAGCAGCTTCATTAACAATATCTAGAAAAAGAAAAATATAGTTATAATAGTATTAATTTTTTAAATTTTCATAAATTATTATCAAATTGAGCTTTGTGAGATTATTGTATTTTTTTTTTTTTTAAGTAAAATATAATGAATAATTTATTAGTTCATGAATCAAAATTCACATAATTTTCTAATGTGTATTTATATTTTCTTATATATTATTCATATAAATATTTATATCATTTATATTTATTATCTTTGTAATTATTTCTAATGTTATTCCTTCATTTTTATAAGTTTAAGATAGCATAGAAAAAAATTTCTATCATGAAGGATTAATAAAATGTATATAATTTTAATACTATTTATTCTCTTATTATGTATTTTAATATATATTTTTTATTAAAACTAAAAGTTTTATTAAAAAAAACAAAATTTATACTTTTGACATTTTTGTCTGATTCTTTCATTTTTTCATGATTTTCAATGACTTTAGCTACATCATTTTGGGTATTTTCTTTTTTGTCATCAGATAATTCACTTCCTTTAGAATATTTACTATACAAATGTAAATCACCAGAAAAAACAAATGTCTTTTTTCCATTTAACAAGCTTTTACTGTATACATTCGGTAATATATTTAAAAATGACAACGAAAAAAAAATTAGAGAAAATTTCATTTTAAAAAAATAGAACAAAATATAAGAAAAAATTTTCAGATATAGATAACTATGAATTAATGTTAATCTAAAAAAAAATATCGAAGGAAAGATTCACAAATTTTTTTTTAAAATTTAGAACAATATAAAATATATTTTCTTACAAAAAGTAGTATTATTTTTGTTTCATATTTTTTTTTTTATTTTTTTTGCTCTTTTGCTATTAACCACATAACCACATTCCAATACAATAGGAACTTACATATTTGTAAGTAAACACATTTATATTTTTTAAATTATATATATAACTTTAATATCGCTTAATTTTTGCATTTTTTTTTTTTTTTTTGCTATTATCATATGATAAATGTATATACATTTACAATGTAATAAATAAAAAAAATAAATTAGACAATATTTAATCAAGTTTCCTTTTATATTTTCTAATTTTATATTTATTATTATTTTTTTTTAATTGTCATCTTTATTTAAAGGATATATAAAATATATATATTCATAAATTTCAATTTACATTATTCGGAATTATCTTTTTTTTTTTTTTTTTTTTATTAAATACAGGATAAAATTTATTAACTTTGAAATATTATTAAATATACAAGTAAAACATCATATTGTAATAGAACCATTAAAAAAAAAAAGAAAAGAAAAGAAAAAAAAAAAAAAACAAATTGAGTTTATATTTCTCATGTAATTCATATAAATTAAAAGTGTTTATACATATTCATAAATATCAAATATTAATTAAAAAAATTAAAATTTATATAGTATCACAAAAAAAAAAAAAAAAAAAAAAAAATAAAGTAAAATATAATAAATGTAAAATAGCTATGATAATATAAAAAAATTAATTTCATTTTTTGAATTTTATTATTTTATTTTTTTTTTTTTTTTTTATTATCATTTATTCTTTTTTAAAAATTATATTAATTTTCTAAAAACCACGGATGATTCAAAGCTTCTTGAGCGGTTATACGATTTGTATAATCAAATTGCAACAGTTGTCTTAATAAATTTCTTGCATTTTTATTTGGCAATCCGATTCCTGAGGGATCCCTTTCTTGTAAAATTTTTTGAAACTGCTCATCATTACAAGTATTATTATTAAAAAAATTATTTTTACTCTCATTAAAAATGTGACTCATATTTTTATAAATTATATCAACTGGATGGTATTCTTTTTTAAAAGAAATATTTGAATTATATTTATTTAAACATCTCCAATCTGAACAAAGTGGAGAGGTAGGTATTGAAATTAAAGAATTATATCTTTGAGAAATTATATTATAAACAATATTAAAAGATTGATTTTTTATATTAATTAGAGTGTTAGATATGTGATATTTTAATTTATTAATAATAATATTATTACTATATATAAAAGAATATAATTGTTTTTTATGAGTTAATATTAAATGTTCTGAAGATTTTGACCATGGTGTTAAGCATAATTCTGATAAACTTTGCAAAAATATAGCCTCTTTTAAAGCATTAATAGGATATTTAGAAAATAATTTTTTAAGTTTAATTTCATTTCTTTTATTTTTCACTTCTAATGGATTTTTTGTGCCTAATACAAACTGCAAAAACACAATCCCAATACCCCAAATATCATAATATGGTAATCGCATAAAATTATTTTTCATATGTCCAAATAAGGATTCTGGTGGTTGATATCCATCAGTTTCTTCATTTTCTGATGGTATAAACAAAAATTGAGGGTTAGAAAACTCGACTGCACTACCCCAATCACCAATCCGAACAGTAAAAGGAGTTTTTGAAGATACAAAGATATTTTCCATTTTGATATCTCTATGTGTAATATTTTTTTTATGAGCTATATTTATACCATTTAATATTTGATAAATTAAATCCTTTAATACTAACATACCTATATTTTCTTTTTTTATACTCCACCATAGTGAACTTGGTATAAGCATTCCTGAATTGTTCGTATCTGTTTCAAAAATATGTTTAGATAATGAATAACCCTCATTTGCAAATACTAACCAAAAATATCTGTAATAATTTTCTCCATCATTAGTTTCATATTCTTCAAAATATTCAATAAATCGACTTATGTTATCACAATTTTTTAAAATTTCTCCAAAATAAACTTCTCTCATAGCATTCAATTGAGATGTTTCTTCATCATTATTTATAAGAATTTTTTTTAATACTACATCCTTAAAAAGATATTTTTCATTTATGCTAATTGCATACCATATCTCACCATATGCTCCTTGTCCTAATTTTTCTTTTATTGTATAATTTATTCTTTTATGTTTATATCTGTCAATTTCTAGGTATTTTTCTTTATCTTTATTTGGGTTTGATAATAATAAACGCTTTGTAAAATTTATCATTTTATACTTATTTTGTAATAAAGATATATAAAATAAATATTTCATATTTATTATCTCTTTTTTTATTCTTTCTTTTTCATATTTATCTATGTAATATATATCTTCATAATCATAATAAACTTGTATATCACTATATTTTTTCTTATCTAATGATTTATTTATATCATCAGTATTTTCATTTCTTATTTTTAATGCATATATGGATTTTTCTATATTAACCATACACATTTTACATTTGGATGTTTTTGCTTTTTTTTCAATAATATCTGGCATATAAATAACATCTAATTCTTCCAAACTATTTCTCTTTGTTTTTTTAAAAATGTTTTTTATTTTTTTTATAAGATAATATTTAGGATTTATAATATCATATCTTTGTATACTATAATTACCTATATTTCCTTTTAAAATTGATTTATTATTTTCTTCATTAGATTTTTCTTTTTTATTTAGCCTTTTACCTACTATATTATATTTCTTTTCGTTTTTCAAATATAAATCATTTTCTTTTTTACTTATTAAAGTATTTTCAATTTCATAGTGTAGATTATTGTTACTTTTCAAACTCTTTTTATTACCATTTTTTGTATTAATTTTATTATTTATGCATTTACTTATCTTTTCTTTTTTTTTCCTTTTAGTTAATTTGGGTTTTAATTGATAATAATTTTTATGAAATACATAAGAATATTCATTTATTTCATTACCAAAAGCAAAATAATTATCATAATTAATAAAAAAATTTTTTTTTTTTTTTTTAAGATATAAATATATACAATTTTTTGCTTTTTTATAAGTACTACCAATATTATTAATAAGTCTTTTAAATTTTACATGAACATTTTTGCAAAATAAAAAAAAACGTTCAATAATAAAACTCCTAAACAAATTACTAGTTTTTTTTGAATAATAGAATAAGGAAAGTTTCTTATTTATAGATAAAATTGAATATTTTTTGTTAAAAACAGCCAAAAACTCTGTCTTACTAGATTCTATAGATTTTTTATGTATAACATTATATTCTAAATTGTTTAATACATTATCAAACATATATAAAAAAGAACAATATAAAAATGTTACTATTACAATTATATTACATATTTTGGAAACATGTATTAAACATGATAATACTTTCATTTTTTTTTTTTTTTTTTTTTTTGTCAATAAAAAAAAAAAAAAAATAAATAATTCATATAATAATAATGTTATGTTAAATAGCTCTTAATAATTATAAGTTAAATATTTTTAAAAAAAACTAATGTACAAAAAAAAAAAATTAACAAAAAAGATAAGAAAAATATAATATGCTAAAATTAGCCTCATTTTATGAAATAATTTTTATGGAATTTTTTTTTATATGGTTATTAACCGTAAAAATTTAATATAGTATAAGAATTTTTAATTTTAATAGATATAAAATTATCGTTATAAAATATTATAGTTTTTCCTATTATTTAAATTTTTTTTTTTTTTTTTTTTTTTCATTTAAAAACATATTCATATTAATAAATATTCATGATAACGCTATAATAGAAATTTTTTGTTTTAATAAGAAAATATGTATAAAAAAAAAAAAAAAAAAATTAAGTTAAAATGATATAGAACTAAAAAGCGTGAAATTCAAATTTTAAATTAAGAAATGGTGTAACAAAAAAAAAAAAAAAAAAAAAAAATAATGTAGCAATTATATTAAAAAATACAATAAATCTTTTATTTTTAATTTTCATATTATTTTAAATACACATAAATATACAAAAATTTGTGTTATTATACAGAATGAAGAAAAGAAAAAAAAAAAAAAAAAAACAAAAACAAATGTAATTAATGATAAAGTATATATTTTTTTTTTAATAAAAATACAATATATAAGTTATAACTGTACGTCTAAAATATAACTTAAGATACATAGGTTATTTTAATATTAAGGAATTACATAAGTGTATAATAACTTTTGTTTTTGTCTTAAATTATTTATACATGATAATTTGTTAATTGTTTATTAATATAATGGCCATTTCATTTTATTTAAAACTCCTATCAAAAAAATATTAAATAAGCTTCTTTTAATTTTCTACAAAAGTTTAAAATTTATTTTTATATAAATGAAATTTTTTACGTATATATATAACCAAAAATATATATGTATATAAAATATTTATATATATATATAAATATTTTTTTTACATTTAGAAATCTTTCTTTTATAAACCGAATTTTAAACTTCATTTAGGAGAGTAAAAACATCACTTAAAATAGAAATATTTTAATAAGGATTATAATAACGAAAATAAATAAAAAATATATAATAACCTGATCATTAATATAAAAAGAATATTAAAAAATAAAAAAAAAAGAGTTATTTTCATTATAATTTAATAATATAATTAGTTGAAAACATAAACTTGCAATATATGCTTGGATATATATGTTAACTTTTTATTGTTTTAATAATTTTATTTATATAGAATTTTTAAAGATAAAACTCATTTATAAAAAATAAATTTTGCAAAATTTAACTAATTTATCAGTGACATTATTTTATTATATTATAAATTTTTAATAGAACCTTTCTTCTTCTTTCTGTAAAAGCTTTTTTAGTAATATTAGTCTGATCTTGAAACTAAAAAAGAAATAGAAAAATCCTTTGTTTTAATTTTTTTTTTAGAAAAAGTAATAATTATTTAAAACATACAATTTTTGCATTAATAGCCAAACTACTTAGTCTTCTTTCTAATTTTGATAAATTATTTTTATTTTTCAAGGATGATTCTATTCCTTTATGTATGGTTGATAATATTCTAACTATTTTTTTATCAAATCTTTCATAATTATTCAAGTATTCAGCATTATATTTTTTAATTAAATTTTGATAAAAATTTGCGAATGATCTAGAATAATAATTTTTTGGTAATCTATGCAAATTTTTATAATCTATATTATTTTCTAATTTATTCATACATTCCTAAATAAAGGGAAAAAAAATTAAGCAATATGAAGATATATGAAGAAATATGAAGAAATATGAAGAAATATGAAGAAATATGAAGAAATTATTTTATCCTAATTAATCTAATAATAAATAATATATTACCTCTAAAAAAGAAAAAGCATGTTTATCTGTCATTTCTCCTTTTTTTGTTATAATAATATAAATTAATGTTAAATTTTTGTTATAAAGAGAATATATTATCCCATGTTCAAATGGAAGCGAATCTTTACCCCCTTCGAAATAATTTTTTGTTTTTATTTATAAATATTATAAATATATTACAAATAAAAAAATGCATACGATTCATATTCTTTTTTTTTCTATTTTTTTTTTTTTTTTAAAAAATCACCTGGAAATGCTCCGATAGAACTAGATTGAGAAAATAAATTTAAAGAACGCACTAACTATAAAAAAGGAAAAAGTATTTATAAATATATATATATCTTAGTAGAATATAAATAATACATAATTTGCAATTATTTATAAAATAATTAAAGAAACCAAAATAATATTTATTTACTTTTTTTTTTTTATTTTAATAAAATCTTAGTATAAGAATAACGTAGTCTAAACATATGTCTTTCATTTATATTATTATTTTTCATATATTTTTTGTCATAAATATCTTTTTAAGTAAATGAATTTATTTATATTTTAAAAAATTACCTCTACTCTTAATTCTGATTCAATATTAGTGTAATAAGTAAAAATTGGTATTTTGTCTTTAAATTTTATAATAGATGCATATATAATTTTAAAATCCTCCATATTTCAATATACTATCTCCTGTTAATTTTCTTTTTGAATATGTAAATTTATTTTAAATTTCAAAATAATTTTCTTATTACCCTAGAAATTTTTTTTTGATTATACAAGAATAAAAATTGCTAATTCTTTATAATATAAATTATTATATTCATGATTGAAAAACCTTTAAAAAAAATTAAAAAAAAAATAATGCCAATTAAAAAAAAATATGAAAAAATCAGTTATTATTAATGTAGTAATAAATTAAAAACTTTAATAATAATTATTCTAAATATGAGATAAAATTATTGGATACATTTTTTTTTTTTTTCATTAAGCATAGGTTTATATGTAAAAATGTATTTATTAGATATCTAAATGATTATTTCAAAAGAAAAATTTAAATAAAATGAACAATATTAATATATAAATGTTTTTTCATATACTTTTTTTTTTTTTAATAAGATTTAATAGTGTTTATTAAAAAAAAAATCTTAAGTGATAATACAGTGTTTTTATAAGTATAAATATTAGTTAAAATATATATAAAATATTATTATGTCTAATGATGAATCATTTTTATTAAATCCTAATTTTGTAATTGCAGTAAAATTTAAAAGAATAAGAATATAAAAAGATCTTTTTATATATTTATAATTTTTGCTTTTTTAAAATAATATAAAACATAGACATTTTCATGTTTTCATTCTCAATTTTAAATACGTGTAGAAATTAAAATTTTAAAAGGATTTCATAAAATTTCATATAAAAAATTAAATATAAAAAATATTATACTAATGTATATGGCTTAAGTTATTATTATTGTTGTTATTTATTTTATTATTTATTTATATTAAAAAAAAAAAAATAAAATAATAAAAAGGTAAAAATATTTTAATAGTTATTTATTAAATGACATCCCATTTATCATAATTTTATACAAAACTATATAAAAAAGTTAAGGTGTTAAAAATAAAATTAAATGCTTATTTTTTAAAATAAAATAAAGATAATTTTTATAACTATTTTTTACAATTTATAATAAAATGGTAAAAAAATCCTATAAAGTTCTTCATTACCCCTTTTTAAAATTTATCTATAAAATAATTTTAGTTTGTTATTCATAATTCAATTGGGTATTTTAAAATTGTAGCAAAACATTAATAGACAATTTTAATTTTTGAATTGGTATTATGTTCCGTTAATAATTTATTAAGTATATATTATTTTATATTTTTATATATTATCATATTAAAAAAGAATTATAATATCAAAAAAACTAAATTTTTTAAAGAATAATTAACCAAGGATAACATGGTTATTTTCTATAAAAATATAATTAATAATGAGAAGAAAAATGTTCTTTTTAAAGTTTATCATTTTAATATTTATATTTTATTAAAATTTTCCTCTTAAATATATATACACATTTTCCTAAGCTAACTCTAATTTTTATATATTAGAATTGTATATAATTTTTTAATTTTTTCATATTTCACTAGGTATAAATTTAGGTTATTTTAAAGAATTTTTAATATTTTGAGAAGATAATTTACTAAATTATATTCCTATATATCAAGATATAAAATTTATTATTACTAGAGAAAGATATATATATATATGCATATATATAAACATTTTTAAAAAATAAAAAAATATTTATAATTTTTTCTTAAAATATTGTCAAACGTATATACTAAATATTGTAACTAAATACTTATAAATATATAATTTAAAAAAAAAAAAAAAATTAAAAAAATTTTAGTCTAAATAAAAATAATAATCACACAATTCAAATTTTGTAAATTTTTTTCTTTTTAATTATTTTCTTTTTAAAGTGTATGTATACTTTCAATGAACAAAATTTTTTCATATAAAAAACTATTTTTTAAAAATGTAATTTTTATTTAGAGTTTATCACATTTTAATAAATATATAATTTTATCTGTTATGTATGTTGTTTTAAAATTTAAAAAAATTTAGTGATTAAAAAAAATTAATACAATTTTTTCTATAAAGAGAAAGTAATTTATAAAAATGTATAATAAAAACAAATTTTCTTCGGATTTATTAAATTCATAATCAGAAATTAATAGAAAGCAGCGTAGCTCAGAGGAAGAGTGGGGGGCTCATAACCCCCAGGACCGTGGATCGAAACCACGCGCTGCTATTTTTCAAAAATAAATATTGATTAATATATTTTAAAATTATAATTCAATATTATTATTATTATATAAAAAAGTATATACTTTTTTTTATAAAACTTATAATTCAATTGAAAATCTTTAATATTAATGAATCTTAGAATCGTCGATTTTTAATTTTTAAAACATCATAATAATATTTAAGGCAATTTTAACATATTAATATAGTAATTTATATAAATTTATATATAAATTAAATTTATATTTTTCCTTATAATTATGTTATTTCTTTAGATATTTTTGTATTCATATCAAATTTTTTATATAAAGTTTAATTAACTTGTTTGTTTTTATATATTATTGTATTTTCAGTAGTAATTCAAAACATAAATAATTTCAAAAAAAATTAAATAAAAATATAATTTTTTGTAAATATAACATTACTTCCATTTTTTTTAATTATTAAATGAAAACGTGAATTCACTAAATAATTTTTTAAGATTTTTTAGAAACTCACATAGATATAAATACTAAATATTTTTATTATATAAAGCATTTGTATTTTATATTTCTACAATTTTTCATTTTTAAATTAAACAAGATATAAAATTAGTGAGATAACTTTTACATTACCCTTTAATAGTAATATTAATATTTCAACTCATTTGTATTTTCAAAATTTTATCTTTTAATATTAAAAAAAATAGTAATAAAAAATGTAGATAATAAATGAATAATTAAAATATAAAAAAAATTAATTCTAAAAATTAAATAATTTATATATAATTATTTTAATATTGCAAAATGTAATTTTATCAAAGAAAAATTATAGAAATAATTTAAGAAAAATATTAATTTTTATTATAGGGCTACTCCGGGAATTGAACCCGGGACCTCTCGCACCCAAAGCGAGAATCATACCACTAGACTAAGTAGCCATCTATAATTTCATTTGTTTAATTAATTTGTTCAATTTTTTCATTTTCTTTTTTTTTTTTTCTTTTTTTAAATTTGAAATTATAATTATATACTTTCATTTATTTTATCATTTAAAAAAAAATTATCATATTAATTAAGGTTCTTTTATATAGTGAAATTTTTTCATATAATTAAATTTATAAAGAAAAAAAATTATACAATTTAGGAAAATTAAGAAAAATAGAGATTTATATATACTTATTTGGCTTCATTTAAAAAGTTTATTAAAACTAAAAATAATATGTGGAATTTAATCTTTAATATTATTTTTTTATAAATTCTTTTTTTTCTTTTAGTGAAATTAAGATTAATAAAGGGAAAATTAGGAAATAACTAAATATATAAAAAATTAATTATACATTTAAAATTTAAATTTATATGTATATAAATTGAACAATATAGTCCAATTAATCTTTTGTAATTATTATAGTTGTTTTTATAAATATAATATAGTAATGAAGAATATAATAAAAATATGAAATATATCTATGTGATTTTATTTTGTTTACAAGATTGCCTTAGTAATATTTCATGTTTATAATTTATAAGATAAATAAATAGAATATATAAAAATTTAATGAATCAATGCATAATATATTAATTTATTTGAAACTTATTTGATTAATTAAACAACAGTTTGAATATTCCATGAATTTAAATGAGAAGAAAAAAAGTAAATTCAATTTAAATCATTTATATATTCATTTCTTTTATTGATTACCTTTACACTTTTTTTAAAAAATTACTATAAATCTACTATTATTTGCAAATGTTCATTTTATTGTAATTTATTAAATTTTATGATATTTATATATTTTTGTAGTTATTTTTATCTGTAGAACAACTCTGAGCTTTTCTTATTAACACAACTGATTTATACTTTATAACTAATATTAAAATTCTAATAAGAATTTAAAAAAAAGAAAAAAAAGGTAGAATATATAAAAAGAATAGAAAAAAATTTAGTCATTAAATTAAAAATACACTCAATTGATGTAATTTGAATGAACTTAAATAAAATACCATAAGCATTTGTTAAATAAAAAAAAAAAAAAAAATAAGATAAATGTGTAAATTAATAATATGACTCAATATAAAATAATTTATATTATTTAATTTCTTTTATTAAAAATTATACAATAAATAATTTTCAAGTTATTAAAATAAAAAAAAAAAAAAAAAAAAAGGTGCTTTATACATTTGAAAAAAATTTTAGAATAAACTATAGTTAATATAAAATATTTACAAATTTTTATAAACTTAATTTTGTTAGACCAAAACATAATTTCATCTTTTATTCACATACCTTATATAACTTACCTATATTTATTGAAGAAATGAAAAAAAAAAAAAAAAAAAAAAAAAAAAAAAAAAAA